TTGTACACACAAACATGTAAAATTACATTATGGCCTTTAATTTTTTAATTGTAGTGTGCAAGTGATGTTTTATGTTTCGATGATTTAGAGGTAAGTATTGGAGACGAATGATTTATTATCACTTTTATTTTTTTATATAGTTTTTAATTAATAATCTAATAAATGTTTAACTTTAGTACCTCGAGGAGGGAAAGGAATTGCCAAGCGCTTTAAGTAAATTTGTTGGTGCTAACGACGAGGGTTGTATTCTTTTAACAGCTATTCGACCAGCTAAGCAACGAAATCAAAATCTCTTAGAGCAGAGCAACCAAAAGTTCGTTGAGATTGAAGAGAAAAGGGTGAAGAAAGCTCAAACAAGAGAAGAAGATTGCGGACAAACGTGTACAGGCCATAAAAGAGCATACAGATCTTATAAAATTGTTAGCGGATGCACTCAACAATTTGATTAAATAGAATAAGACTAATATGGGTTCTTTGAAGCGTTTTAGGTTGTAAGTCCCTAATAGCATTTTAGACTGTGAAAATCCTGGTATCCTTTCCCAATAGAGTTCTCTTTCTTTTTTCTCTGCTCCATTCATAAGAATAGATAGAGTTCCTTTATCTAGACCACAGAATGGTTCTGGGCCATCATTCTTGAGGCTGTGCCTCTTCTTGCATGTTTGTCTGCTATTTTATTGCCCTGAATACCAGCATGTCCCGGAATTCATATTAAGTGCACCTGATTGTTCCAACCGAACATGTTCAGCTTGTCAATGCACTTCCATATTAGTTTAGATAATACCTGGTAGGATATGAGTGCCTTTATAGCTACCTGGCTGTCAGTCAGTATTGCGATATCACGATTCCGGTAGTTACGTTCAAGGTTGAAACTGGCGCATCTATCTATCGATTATATTTCCGCTGGAAAGCTAGTTGCATTATTCCCCAGTGCTTCCCAGTATCTCTTGCCTGGTCCGTAAACACCAGCTCCCGCTCCCTAATTGATGAGGAACCCGTCTGTATACCATGTTGTCATATTTTCTGTTATTATGTGGGTTTTGGATAATTTTCGTATTTTTTTTTTGTTGCCAAGTTTAATTTCGAAGTTTTTTATAAAGTTATCATCCTTTACAATCATCCTGTTCATTTGCATTTCAGATTCTGGGATATGTGCAGCCAGAGCATCAAAATTTTCGCTGTTAGTTTTAAAACCAGTCATCCTGTTTGCGATTATACTTAGAGCAGCCCTCTTTGCCTGTTATTACACATATATATGAAGAGATGTGAGTTTCAGGAGTGCTGCAATTGATGACGTGGGACATGTTTTCATTACTTCTGTTATGCTTATACATGCAAGATGCTGTACCTTGTTGAGTGTGTTGATAACACTTTGCTGTTTTGTGCAGTTTTGCCAGACTATTGATCCGTAAGTGACTATAGCTCTGATTATTGCTATATATATCCATCGCAGTGACTTTGGTGTACATCCCCAATTTTCATCTGCGATGGATATATATGTCATAAAGGCTTTGGTTGCCTTTTTTGTTATTTCTTGGGTGTGAGATTTCCATAATAAGTTTTGTCTGAAATTATACCCAAAAATTTTACCTACTTTTGTGGTTTTATTTTTATCCCTTTTAAGATTTTTTATTTTGTATTTTCTCGTGAATGTTACAATGTTTGTTTCTGCTGGAATTATTTTCAGCCCAACAGAATCACACCATTCTTTTGTTAGTTTTAGGCCTAACTGGATTCTTTTGCACAGAGTATGTTCGAATTTTCCTTTGCGATTATTATCACATCATCGACGTATCCTTGGATTCTAAGCCATTCCTATCCAGTTTTATCAATAGTTCATCCACTACCATACTCGACATTAGGGGTGATAATTCTCCACCTTGTGGACACCCCCGCGAGTGTTTGCAAAAATATTGCCATCAGTGGTCGGAAATTCTACTCTCCTGGTGCAGAGCATATTGGTCATCCAGCATGAAAGTGTGCCATTGATTCCTCTTTTAGAAATAGTTGAGTTTATGACCTCATATGAAGTGTTATCAAAGGCTCCTTTAATATTTAAGAAAGTGCAGATTGCTATTTCTTTCTTATCTAAGCTGTCCTGAATCATGTTATTTATTTGATACATGGCTGTTTCTGTCGACTGACTTGCCCTCTTGCCGTGTTGGCAGCTGTGTAGTCGAGTTTCTTTCAGTGTAGTATTCCTGATATAGTTATCCACGACTTTTTCTACAAGGGTTCATGATGAATCAAGATCATCCATACGTGGTGCAGAGCCACATATTGTGGCGGATCTAGAGAGGAAAACTTGATAAAATCCGTAATTCGGGATGTATGTATGAACGACCTTGCAAGGATGAATGGCACTACGTGAGTATGTGTTAGAACAGTAGATTCTGGATACCTGGTGACCTCCGGTTTCATTTAGCCTTTCCGAAGTAAATAGGGCTATGCTTTGACCGGCCTTTCTCTCCCGTACACTCGTGGGAATATATATAGAATTTTTTAAAAAAATCAGTATTCAAAAAACAAGCACAGAACTAGCTACCAGTTCCGAAGACGAGCAACTGACATCAAGTCAAGAAATCGAGCAAGTCGAAACCGTCATATCAACTAATGTAGGCAGTAGCAGCCACACTGCACACAAGTCCGCCAAAGATTACAGGCCGATTAGTCTAATTTCATTCTTACTAAAAACAATAAAGAGGGTGATAGAGCTTCACCTAAGACAAAAGGTAGAAAGTTTTGCAATCCCTAAATCCCAGCATGCTTACTTCAAAGGTAGATCTACGGATACAGCTCTACATGAAGTCATTCTTACTGTAGAAAAATCGATTCATTTTAAACAATACTCGCAACCTTTTTAGATATTTAGGAGACTTTTAACAATGTAATAATGTTATATATGACTCGTTTTCCAGAATAGGTTTAGAGGAAGAGTTAAAAAATTGAATAGTTACTATGATAAAAACAAGGACTATTTAGTCAAAGCTAGGCAGCACAACCCAAATTAAACACGTCAGTAGAGGTACGCCACAAGGAGGGGTTATTTCACCAGTACTGTAATGCTGTGAATGGACAACGTAGTTATTCTAGTGTCAGGTATGTTCCCTAACATAATAAGGATATTATGGAAAGGGCCTTGATTAAGATAAGTACCTGGGCCACAGATTGTGGACTACGTATTAAGCCAGGAAGAATTGAAATGATGCTGTTTACCACCAAAACCCAAAAACCGGCTTTCAGGTTGCCTTCAGTAAATGGGCAGCAACTAAAATTTAAAAAAGCCAAATATCTAAGAATTCTGTTGGATAGTAAGCTAAACTGGAAACACAATGTCGCTCTTTGTATCATGAAGGCATGTATAGCTTTCTATTCTTGCAAAAGAATGTTTGGCAAAAAATGAGGGATTCGTCCCAATATTACACTGCAATTGTATATCCAATTCTCACGTATGGTGTTGTCGTTTGGTGGCCGGCTCTAAATAAGAGTTATGATATCGATAAACTTAACAGAATTCAGAGGACGGCAAGTGTAGCTATTACAGGAGCTTTTAGAACGACTCTCTCGAACGCCTTAAACGTGATACTACACCTGCTACATATCGATCTCAACAACAAAAATATGGTTTGCAACAGCGCTCTTACACTGAAACTAACAGGCGTCTGGTCAGAACAAACATATGGAGCCAGATTCTACGTAGAGTTCCAAACCGTCTGTATAGGATGACATCGGATTATCTGAATCCGTTCATAGGCTTCGAAAGAAATTTTCGGACAATATTCCCTTCAAGAAATAAATGGAAAAGGAAAAATTTCGTAGCAAACTATGATATCTCGAAAATGAACTGTGGGGCAGGAGCAGGAATCTTCGTATCATCTGAAAACATTAATAATTCTCTTAAGCTACCTAATGAGGATACGGTTTTTCAGGCTGAAATCCTAGCAATTAGAGAAGCCTGCCGGCAAATTGCAAGTCACATCGAGGACAGATGTAGTGTTGCCATTTTCACTGACAGACAGATAGCAATTAACGCCTTTTAATCTTTCATAAGAAAATCAAAGATAGTAAAGGAATGTAGAGAAGCTAAATCGGTTGGCTGATATTACCCTCATCTGGGTTTCTGGACATAAAAACATCGTAAGGAACGAGAAAGCTGACAGTTTAGTCCGCTCTGGTGCCTCCCTGGAAGCATCACAGGCGGTACCAGTTTATATTACCTCAGAGACCATTAAAAGAACTACCTTCCTCTACTTTCTGCAACTTGCCAATAATAGATGGAAACACTTAGGTCATGTGCGACTTCCAGGTAAACATAGCCCACCTATAATAAAAATAAATCCTCGAAACTCATTAAAAGAGACTGCGTGAACATTGCAAGGCTTACTGCAGTTATTACTTGTCATTGGTGTGTAGAAACTCAAGCAGAGAAACTGCACATTTCCCGTAACTCTCACTGCAGAAGTTGTGAAAACCCGCAGGACAAAGAAACAATAATACAATTCTCTGTGAATGCCCGACTTTAGCGTTCAGAATATCACCGATGAAGATTAACCTACTAAATTACCTAAATACGGCGGGATGGATTTAGTTTCTACTCCTCTATGGTATACTAGGGTTCTTGTGAGAAATATGATAGCAAAACGGCGAAAAATCGTTAATTGAGGTACATGGAAGATATCTAATGGCCTGCCACCAACCAAAATCGGTTGTGAAATGGATGAACTCGGAAAATTGAAATCGTCGAATAAAACAGAATTTTATAGCCATTATAATAAACGAAGGGCTAAGAGATATCAAGGAACTAGAAGGATTTACACAACACGAATTTTATAGCATTGACAGACGGGAGCTAAATTATCATTAAGGGGCTAAATTATAATTTATTTGCTCATTTAGCAGTTTTAAATGATCATTTATGGTCTTTAAACGACCGAATTTAACCCAATTTATTCGTCATTTAGGTTTTTAGAAATGGTAATGCTGCATATGCAAGTGAAACGAAATAAAAAATGGAACAAATTTCAAACTATTTGGTTGTCAAAATGTAAACAAAACATATTTGTAAACGTTGGTAAATGTAAGTACTCGTTATATTTTGATATATTTCATATTTTTTTTATATATTTTATATTTAATTAAAGCAAGTTTCTTTAATTGTTCTTGCTTATCCATTTTGAATTTAAAATTCTCTTGCTTTCTCAATACCAAAAAATATACAGCAACTTCTTAATGATAATTTATACCGTCTGTCAGGGTATTTTTAAAACGATAATTTAGGGCTGCTTAATGATAATTTAGTGCGCTCGTCTGTCAATGCTATTACTGTAATTTGCTGTGTTTTGATTATGACAGCTAGTCCTATGATAGTTCTAGACAAATTGACATTAAAACAGTGTTCTTGAATGGTGACCTAGATAAAAACATTTCTAAAAACCAGCAGGTTACGAGGATAGCATTGAACATGTAGTTAAGCTATTGAAGTATATGTAAGAGTTGATGCAAGCATTACAATATTTTTTAATGGATTTAATCCCTAAATCAGAAGCGACCAGATGGAGAAACTTTATAGAACGCTGTAATAGTACTCTATGAAAGTCCTCTTTAAAAAGTAATGTCTAGTACGTGATTATGGCGTTGATCTAAGGAGAAGGAGAGCCGAGGAAACCACGCCGAGAAACAAACTGGTAACTAGATAGGCATCGGAATCCTGATAATAATATAAGCCGTATGCCATCAGGAACATAGACTATTTACATAGAATCGCCAAGTACTTCTGTTTAATGCTAAATGTCTCAATTCGTTAAATGATTTATTAGTTTCCTGCCGGATTGTTCTTTTCCATGTGGTGCAAGGACTGCAGCATGCGGCTACTTTCAATGCTCACCATCCATGTTTGAGAGCTATATAGCAAAATCGATTTGACACATGCGTTATATATATTGATCTTAGACTTCGGAGATAGTTCGCTTGGTTGCGCCTCCCGTTGTATTTATTATGCTTCCAAGGTAGCAGAAATTTTCAACAGTTTCAATGTTTGTGTTACTGATTGTGAAAGTAGGAGCTTGATTTGATTTAATTATGCATGCCTTTGTTTTACTTATGTTGATTCGTAGACCCACCAGTGCAGCTGTAGTTTCAAGGGCATCAATTTTTGCCTGCATATGCTCTTTATTTGACGAAAGTAAAACTATGTCGTCCGCATAGTCCTCGAAGTTTTCGCACCAGCGAGTAATTTGATCATCGGCCGTAGTTAGTAGTCTATCATTTTTGTCCTTTATGGGGACATTATTTAAAACTTGTTTATTTGTAAGCTTTCATGTGACATTAAACACTGTTTTCAAATCGCCTCGTAGGCTTGCTGCTTCCGCTTTAGCAGCGAGACTGTTTATAAAACTGCGTTTGTCGTTTCTGGCCTTTCGCTCAACATTTTTCACTAGAGATTGGTATAAGGTTTGTGCCAAAGCTCTCTTCTCAACATTTACGGCATTAATTAATTATGATTTAGCAAGGCGTCTTTCTTCAACATGAGACCAAAATGCAGCTGTAAGCCATTCTTTGGCTTTCCGTCCAGCTGCTCCAATCACTTATATCAGTGATAGAGTTCCCTTGAGCTTCTACTTGAGGCCTTTTGTTTAAAATGCTGCTAATAAAATTTTCTTTCGTATTATCATTGGCGAGCCGGGATATGTTGTACTTTTTTCGTTTCAACCCAGGTGTGCGAGTTTGTCGTTTTTTCAAAGTAAGTTTCATATCAGTGACTAGCATAAAATGGTCGGATGCTATTTCGGCGCTTCGACGTACTCGAACATCCTGTAGACATTTGAACCATTTTTTACTAATACAGAAATGATCGATTTGACTTTCAATGAGAGTTCTGGAGTCTCGCGATCTCCATGTTAATTTATGATTAATCTTGTGTGGGAAGTAGGAACCACCGATCGTGAGATTATACTTTAAACAAATTTTAAGCATAAGTTCACCGTTCTCAGTACGTGAGCCTGGGCTATGTGGACCCATGATTCTCTCAAACCCTTTATTATCGTTTCCAATACGTGTATTTAGGTCACTCATGAGTATTACGATATCATTTCGCGGTACGTTTTCTAGCGTACGATTAAGTTCTTCGTAGAACCTTTCTATTAATTCCGGTTCAGAAATGCCAGTAGGTGCGTAACATTGTACTATTGTTATTTGGCCAATATTAGCGTTAATACGTGCAGAGATTATGCGTTCTGAGATTGGCTTACAGCTAATAAGACAATTTCGAATTTTTCTGTTAAAGTAGATTCCAACGCCCCGAAAGTTGGGGTCGCTCTCGTTCTTCATTTCTGAGTAGATAATACGGTCACCTTGTGAGCTCGTAAAATCCCCATTCCCATTCCAACCTTGCCCCTTGCTGGTCAGTTCGAACCATTTTCTATTAAAGCAAGATGATAAAAACGGTTATTCCGCAGTATACTCGGACGCCAGACCCTCGTCTGTGAAAACAGGGGGTACCACGAGAAGGTGAGGTTGACATTTGAGGCGAAGAAGTTTTGTATTTCACTGATTTGTATTTCCCTTACCTACCCCCGAATTCTGATAAGCACGTACCAAAATGTTTCTTTTTATCAAATAATTATCTTTTGAGTGTTATGCCTATGAGGCAATCGCGTTTAAATGATATTCTTGTGCCTATAAATTAACTGGTGTTTAAATAATACTATTTACACTGGTGTGAATCAAACCTTGTTTAATAATATTACTACGCCTGCAAAATATCTGCGTTCAAGTCATATTCCTGCGCCTGTGTATAGCATAATTCAGACATTAAGTTATTTTAAGCCTATCGTATTTATTTATAGCCTTTGATATGTTATATATAATAATAAACATATAGAACGCTATTCTCAAATCGAAAAAGAGGCATTAACAATAATTTACGGAATGACCAAGTTTCATCAATATCTTTATGGAAGACGTTTTGAAATAATAACTGATCATCAAGCGTTGACAACACTGTTTAATCCGGGTAGAAAGTTGCCAGTGATGGCGTTGTATCGCTTACAGCGTTGGGCTATTGTACTTCAAGCATATGAATACATTATACGGTTCAAAAGTTCATCTCAGAATGCTAACGCTGATGCTCTTTCCAGATTGCCGTGTGGGGATGACATACAATTTGATAGAAAGGAAGTTGTGATGTTAGATGATGTCGATATTGTTTATCAAAATGCTGGGGATTACCTTCCAGTAAATGCAACATTAGTAGAGGATATGACTGCTAATGACAACACTCTTCAACGTGTCAGCAGATATGTACAAGATGGCTGGCCTGAACAATTGCCGAAATCTGAAGGTAGTATCAAACCGTACTTTAATCGCAGATTTTGCTTATCATTTCAGACTGGAGTGTTACTTCTTCAAGCTGAAAATACTAGAGTGGTGCAATCGAAAGCACTGCAATCTCAAGTATTAAATTTGTTACACGAGGGTCATTGGGGTAAAGGTCGTATGAAACAGATGGCAAGACGATATGTGTGGTTTCCTCTTATTGATAAAGCTATAGAACGTATTCATGATGATTGTTCATCTTGTCAACAAGGTGCAAGTCAACCAAAGCGAGAATTTTCTGCATGGCCAGAACCTAGTAGGCCGTGGGAAAGAGTTCATTTGGATTTCGCGGGTCCATTCTTTAAACGTATGTGGCTCATAGTTGTGGATGCATATTCAAAATTTCCATATATTGTGGAACTAACAATAACAGCTGTAACAACAGTTGGAGCTCTACAAAAAATTTTTTCTATCGAAGGTCTTCCGTGCACTATTGTGACAGACAATGGAACACAATTCACGTCCAATGAAGTTTTAAAGTTTTGTGAAATGAACGCAATTCAGCATCTCACGTCTGCTCCTTTTCATCCAGCTTCGAATGGGTTAGCGGAAAGACATGTGAGAGCTTTTAAGGAAGCAGTAACAAAAATTATGAAAGAGGAACAACATATTGACAAAGCGTTGTATAAATATCTTACAACGTATAGAACTACTCCAAACTTAACAACCGATAAATCGCCAGCAGAGTTGTTACATGGGCGGCAACCAAGAACCATTTTATCGGCGTTGTTCCCGAAAGTTATGGAGACAATGAAAACTCAAAATAGAAGCAAATTCGGAGTTGGAGAGAAAGTGTTAGTTCGTAATTATTCGAGACCGCATAAATGGATCAGGGCCGTGATACAGAAATTGCTGGGAAACAAAATGTATTTTATTCAAACTGAAAATGGTTACATAAAACGACATCAAAATCAAATACGTCGAAATTTGTCGTCATCGCATTCAATTCAGCTTAGGGCAGATAATGTTGATATTGATTTAGATTTCGGTAGTCGGACACCACCGGTTGAGGAAACAACAATTAATACTGGATCCAACCCGGAATATAGTCAAACAGAGAAAGACGACAAAATGGGGACCGATAAAACAAAAACCATTACTGGATCTGACTTGGAACAGAATCAAAGAGAGAAAGACGACAAAGTGAAGTCCAACGACAGATATGGGTCCACACACACTGATCAGTTGCCAGTTCAATTAAGACGGTCGGTTAGAAAGAGAAGACAACCTGTTCGTTTTAATCTAGTATAAACAAAATTCAATGTCATGTTAAACATTATTTTAGTAGTTTCAAAAATTAGGTCCAAGAGAATGTTGGAAATGTATAATCATAATTGAATAGTAGGCTATTCTTATTTGATTAATTGTATTTAACATTTGTAAAAATTTAGAAATTAATTCACTTTTGACTTCCGATAAGAATAAAGTTAAATTGATAAAACAGAAATTAACAGGTTCATTACAATAATATTGTGTAATAAACGTGGTATGTTAAAAACAAAAACCTACGCAATGACCTAAATTACCCAACTCTTAAAGAAGTTATTCGCCAATATTTTCAATATTTCAATATACAATTTTCGTCGCTCCTTGCGCCGGGGTAAAACTCAGGGGTTGTCCTGGGTCGTTACAATAAAATTTATAAATATTAGAAAACTGCGTTTCAAGTTTAAATTTTTAATCTTTATTTATTAATGAATTTACTTAAATCTTACAGTCTTTATTTATTCTATGTTTATATTGTATTTGCGTGGTGCTCTATTACAGGATATTCGATAATAGCCAGCGTATCGTTCTTTGGTGTTTGCTGTAGTTTTCTCTTATATTTGCAACCTTGGAAGAATATAAACGTGTTCACGCTTATGTACGGTAGTATAGGTGGAATTTAACATGTGCACGCTTTATATCATGATTTCGTAACAAGATATAAACGTGTTCACGCTTATATTTGCTACCGTGTAAGGATATACTTATATATATAAATGTTAAGGAATGCAGCTTTGCATTATTTACATTGCAACCCATCATTTTATGTTTAACTTATTTCTTGCTATTTGTATTTTTACTTTTTGTACTTCTTCTCTAATAAAGCTTACTTAAGGAAAGACGTGTTTTTTAATTTCACCTGCGCCAACATAGGTTATGGGTCCAGGCAACGTGGTCGAAATTAAAATTGAAATTAAAATTATTAAAAAGGTAAATATGAAACCTAAAGTCGTTTGTCGACAGTATTACAAAGGTGATTGGTAAAGTGAATTGATAAAATTAAAATCAATAATGAAGAGAAGCTTAAAGGGGACAATTATGGTCCATGTTCCATTCAAATGAGGAGCTTATTAATAACGCAGGATTTATGGGATGTAACAAGTACACCAAAAGATAACAGTGTGAAAGACTGGGAAAGAAATGACGCTAAAGCTCTTGCTTATATAAATTTAAGCATACAAAGTTCAGAACTGTTACACATTAAAAACTGTAAAACGGCATTTGAGGCATGGAATGCCTTACGAAATATATATAATGCGAGTGGACCCGCAAGAAAAGTCTCTTTATTAAAAAGACTAATCAAGTTTAACTTCAGCAGCTCGGAAAAATATTTACCGCAGTTAAATGAATTTTGTAACATTGCGGATTCATTAACAGCATTAACATCTTACTATTATGCAGTCTTCCAAGCAATATGGAAAACTTTGCAGTTGCAATAGAAAGCAGAGATAAATTACCGGAGTTGGATAATTTAAAGGCAAGATTATTAGAAGAGGAAATAAGAAGGAGCGATCAAGATACTGGCGATAGGGTATTTACTGCGAATTCTAAAAGAACTAAAAAATTTGAGAAAAATGAAACACGAAATAAATATTTCACTCGTGATGCTAAACAAAAAAACAAGGTGAAATGCTACAATTGCGGAAAGAGAGGTCATATTCAAGCTGATCGTTTTTTTAAAAATCATAACAAAGAACCTGTTGCGCTAAGTTTAGTAAACAACCAACAAAAACCAAAACTCTCAAGTTGGATTTTGGATAGCGGTGCTTCTACGCATATAAGCAACAACAGCGAACATTTCTTTAATATATCTCGATCATCGCAAAATATAATTTTAGCATCAGGTGAGTGTATAGACGCAGAAGGGATGGGTGATATTCTTATAACTGCAGAAAATACAACGTTGAAGCTACAAAACGTTTTGTATGCTCCAAAAATTTATACTAACATATTATCCGTTAGCAAAATTATTTCAAATGGTAATTCGGTAAATTTTGCAAACAATAAAGCAATTGTAAAAAACAAAGATAATAAATATTGTTTAGTGCTATTAAAGAGGACGGTTTGTTTGTTATTAATTTTAATAAAAAAATACACGCGTTATCTTTGGAAATTAGTGAAATTGAAATGTGGCATCGTCGGTTCGGCCACCTAATCTTCCGAGACTTAATAAAATTATCCACAAAAAATATAGTTCACGGTATGAAACTAAATGAAAATAAAACAATGATTAAAAATAATGAAAAATATAATTGTGAAATTTGTGCAATTGAAAAAATTACTAGACAACCATTCCCAAAATACGCGAATGTGGGTACAACAAAGGTACTAAAGCTAATTCATAGCGACATATGTGGCCCAATACGGAGATCATCTCAAGGTGGAGCAAAATATTTTATTACATTTATGGACGATTTTTCTAGATACCTGCATGTCGATTTTATTTCTAAAAAATCGGATGCCTTAAAGTCTTTTGAATCAATTTGTAAATAAAGATTTTAATGAATTGCTCAATAAACATGGTATTGTGCACGAAACCACAGTAAGTTATACTCCTCAACAAAATGGTGTTGCGGAACGTATCAATAGAACACTGATGGAGATGTCAAGGTGTCTTTTGAATTCAACTGTCTTACCAAAAAATTTGTGGGCAGAGGCCATTAATACTGCTGCTTATATTAGAAATCGGTCCGTGACAAAAGTATTAAATAATAAAACTCCGTACGAATGTTGGTTCGACAGAAAACCAAGTGTAAAATATTTTAAAATTTTCGGTTGCAAAGCTATCGTACTAAATAAACGTCAGAGAGAGTCTAAGCTCGAATCTAAAGGTGAAGAAATGATATTCGTCGGTTACGCGTCAAATTCAAAAGGATATAGATTATATAATCCTAAAAATCGGAAATTAGTAATAGCTCGGGATGTAATATTTTTTGAAAGCCAAAAATCAAACGCCGTGTTTAACGAAGAAAACAGTGACAATGAAGAATTGTTTGAATTACTGGACAATTGAAAAAAATAAAAAATGTGATCAATTGGTCGTTGAACGTGAAAATGTAACGGAAGATCGTGAGAATAAATTTAAAGACACCGAATATGAAAACAACGTGTTTGAAAGTGCAGGCAGTGATGATTCAGAAAGCAACAATGAAGGGTCTGTGCTAAGTAATAAAACTGGAGAATTAATTTGGAATTCGAAACGATTAAGACCTAAAGCTTTCAAAACACCAAAGAGGTGAGTGCCGATGAAACAACGGACGTCATTAATATAGTATGTGAGGTTCCGAAATCTTTGCAAGAGGCAGTACATTCAGATGATCAAATTAAATGGAAAGCTGCGATGCAGATGGAATACAACGCACTTACTAAGAATAACACTTGGACCTTAGTAGACCGTCCTATGGGCAGTAATGTGGTAGGTTCAAGATGGGTATTCACAATCAAATATAATCCTGATGGAACCGGAAAAAAATATAAGGCTCGTTTAGTGGCACAAGGATGCACACAGAAGTTTGGGTTAGACTACACAGATACTTATGCGCCGGTTGCAAGGCATTCTTCTTATCGTTTAATATTATCTCTTGCGGTACAGTACAAACTATTTATAAAACATTTCGATGTAGTATCAGCTTACTTGAATGGAGATTTTGCAGAAGATGTCTATATGAAGCAACCTGATGGATTTATAAATGAAAAATCTCCACATCAGGTATGTAAATTAAATAAAGCTATTTATGGACTGAAACAATAGTAGACTGAACAATAGTTGAAATAGTAGATCGAGGTCCTATTAAAAATTATTTGGGTATGGAAATCACAAGAGAAGGACAGTTAGGCGAAATTAGGATACATCAGAATTATTTTACGATGGAACTTCTTAAAGCGAATAATATGCATGATTGCAAAGGAGTGCAAACCCCATTTGCTAAAGATACAGTGTTGGAAAAATGCTGTATTGAAAACTGTACAGGTGCAGATATTAAAAGATATCAATCACTAATTGGGAGCTTGAATTATTTAGCCGTAGTATCAAGACCAGATATTGCTCATACAGTGTCTAAATTGGCGCAGTTCAGTACACATCCCCACCAAGAGCACTTTATAGCTGCAAAACGAGTACTCAAATATCTGCGAGCAAATCCTAAGGGTATGTTAACTTATAAACCTAATAGTCAGGGATTAGTTTGTTTTTCAGATGCCGATTGGGCTGCAGATACTACTGATCGTCGTTCTTATGGCGGATTTGCAATTTTTCTCGGTGAAAATCTCATAGCATGGGAATCGAGAAAACAAAGTGTGGTTGCACTTAGCACCATGGAGGCAGAATATATAGCTATGTGTTTGGGAGTTAAAGAGGTGTGTTTCATCAGAAGTCTATTGCGAGAAATTGGTTTTAAAAATTCAGTAAACGAAGTAACAACAATATTCAGTGATAATTAAAGTTCGTTATTTGCTGTAAAAAATCCCGCTTTTCATAAAAGAAGTAAACATATCGACATAAAATATCACTATATTCGAGACAAACACATAGCAGGAGAAATAAACGTCCAATATATTTCATCAAGTGAAAATGTAGCTGACATCTTTACTAAAGGTCTTTGTGCTGACAGACATTTCAAATTAGTAGATATGTTAAAAATGAATTTTTGATTATTTTGATTTACATATTATATGAATATATTAAACAAACTTGATGGTTTGAGATGGAATTTGTTAAGGAATGCAACTTTCCATTATTTACATTGCAACCCATCATTTTATGTTTAACTTATTTCTTAATTTTGTATTTTTACTTTTTGTATTTTTACTTCTTCTCTAATAAAGCTTTCTTAAGGAAAGACGTGTTTTTTGATTTCACCTGCGCCAACAATAAATATTAAAAAAAAAGGTTTAGATGTTTCCTTTATACTTAGTCCCGTGGGCTGCCTTGGGAAGTTGATTATATCAGTCCTCTGGTAATGCTTTCGAATGCTTCTGCGTGCTTCTGTCTACTTGGCATGCCGATCACTAACTGCCTTTCCCAAACAAATGCTTCGTCTCATATACGCATTCGACCAAACTGTAATGTAGCGCAAAGCTTAGTTTACAGCTGGTTTGCATTTTTGAAGCCGTTGTTGTTTTGCGCTTTCGCCGCAGTTCTTTTAATGATACGCGCGCATCAATTTTTGCTCAAAAGTTTTTTTTTGACGTTTATTGTATTCTGCATTTGTTTTGTTTAGAATCGTGTTTACCTTAGTGTCGGTAGTGTCAGTTTTTAATATTTATATTTATTTATTAAAATAAAATAAATTTTAAATATTAAAAAGTATCAATATAAATAATAAATAAATAAGGTAGGTACAATATTTATTTATTTAAATATATTTTGTATTCTTTTGAATTTTCAATGTAATTGTGGTGATAACGCAGTACACATACGAAAACTTAATTTAACAGAAGTTTTAGTAAACTAAAAAAACAAATTTTAAATAAAAATTATCTAGTTTATGTATAGATTGTAATTGAGAAGTAAATCACAGGAATTTATTTCATTGTTTAGCATTAACAATAATAAAGGTGCATGGTAGTTATTATTGTGTTATTGTGATGTAGTTGCGTGCATGCTGTGATGACTTTTAGTAAGTTAATTATATTTAATAAAACAAATAAAAATTAACCAATTTTTATTTCAGATATCAACTGCATACTAGTTGCATGTAGGTTAGAAATTGGTAAAAAATTCTATTCTTACAATATACACATAAGTTTCGAAAGAGACTCAAGTTGTATCCAATCGCTTTAAAAGAAAATCATTGATAAATATCAATACCCTAGCTTAATAGCATACATGTTAGTTTTTTAAGATTTACAAAATTATTGTCAATTTCTATTTAGAAAGATTTAATAAATATACTAATGAAAAAAAAAAATATCGCTTGGTTTATATTCAACTAAGTAAAAAGCACGGAAGCTCATTGTATGGATAATCGAATTTAATTAATGATCTCAATCATTTAAACTGTGTTAACGACATCATTAAATATAATAATTTTATTGTAACTTTTTAGTTACTGTTTAATAAGTTAGAAATTTCCAAGTTTTTTATTTTTTGTTTTACATTATGTTATGTTAAGTACTTAATTATCCAAAATGTATTTTAAATAGCTTAAACCACGTTATCAACACCGGTATCAGTTGAAAACAGAATTGTATTAAAGACAGGCAGTAACCGTAGTTACCTAACTGAATTAATTATAATTGTTAAATATTAATTATTTTATTGTATATATAAATATTTACATGTTAAAACTGTTTTCACTGATAAAACTGAAAGGGCAATGTTTCTTGATTTTATACTGTGTGTTATGTGGATTTATTCCACATATTTGTCGAATTAAGTTTTGTCTTACTTTGTATTAAGACAAATAAAAGACAAAGCGCAATATCACAGTTTTGTTTAGGAATTTATCCTACACACAAAGTAACGCTTCCTGTTTACTCTATTTCAAGTACATTGAAGCTTACTTACTGTTTATGCTGATTCAGCCATGATCACACAGTAGTCAAGCTGCACACAGTATTCTTTGTTTTCCTTATGAACAATGTTGCGCTTATGGTTCCTCCTATAGGAATCAACTTACATATGACAAACATCACCGCACTTATCTTAAGAATGGAAATCTCAGCATAATTGATTTGGTTTGGTTAGCTTTTGTTTGATTCTATTAGTTCAGTTCGAGTCAAGCCAACGAAATATCAACACGTTGTTTAAGTTCATAACAAAATAAATTGGTGGCAGCGGTAAAGATAGAATTTTCGGTTGAAAATAAAAAATTAATTAAAAAGTGTTTTAATTTACTAAAATTAGTATACGGTACGAGTAAATGTTAAAAGGAGTGTTTCGAGTAACTGAAACGAATAAAAAAAAAATAAATATATGTTGTGAAATTATATTATCAACAAGGATAATTATTATTGACAGTAAAAATAAAAAACAAACAATAAGTTTTAATAAAACTGTGCACTATTAAAAAATTTAACAGAAAATTAACTTTTGAAATATTTATTTGCCAATCAAGAAATAAAGTGAGATCAGAAAGTTCAGGTGCGGAACAAAAATAGCTGAGTTGAATGTGTTATGATATACTGAAAAAGTAGAATATACAAAATTAATTATCGTGTAAAAGACAAGACAATAGTGAAAATATATATAACAGAAAAGCAGTTCAAAAATACACTCAACGTAAAAAGGAGAAGGTGGTGAAATACAAAAAATCGGGAAGAAATCTGGTGTTCTGCAATTAAGAAGCAAATCTGGTGAGCAAATTCGAAAATGAAGATGATTCTGATGTTATGGGTTTCACTTAGCTGGTAATGTACCAAAATTTTAATATTAAATTTTGTTATTATTGTACTAAATGTCAAATTTAATTATCTAAAATTATCTAATGATAATTATTACTATTTTTATAAGTAACAGTATTTGATTTATGAATTATAAAAAAAAAAAACACATATAAGTGAAACTAAATTAAATTTTGCTGTTTATAGAAATCAATATAAATTAATATTGTTAAAAGAAAATATATATATACATATATATATTGGAGTTTATAGAAGTTAATAATAGTTTTTGTCAATAATTTCGTGTAATATTTTACGTTGTATAAAATTCATAATGGCAACAAATAACAATGTTAATGTAGGAAGTTCAGGTAGTTCAGGTAATTCTGGTAATTCTAGTAATTCGAGTGGATTAGAAGAGATGGTGGATATTAATACATTAATAAAATTAATACCTGAGTTTAAAAGCGATAAAAGTGAGCTTTACACATTTGTCTCCGCTTGCGATGATGCTATAGGCGTAGCAAAGCCGCATCAAAAAGATTTCCTATTTAAATACATAAAGTCACAGATATCAGGAAACGCAAGATTAATATTAGAAAATAAAGTTATAAGCAATTGGAATGAACTTAAGACTCAACTCAAACAGAACTATAAAGACAGTGATAGTACACTAGCTTTATATAGAGAACTGATATCTACTAGACAAGGGGGACGAACAGTTAGGCAGTTCCAATTATTTATGGAAACCATGTCTAGGAAATTGGGAGCTGATGCAAAAATAGAAACTCAGGATGATAGTGTTAGAGAAGCTGTTTATAATTATATTGAAACTAAGATCGTTTTAAATGCATTTATAAATGGCTTAGATGGAGAAATTGGCCAATACGTGAACAATTGTCGTCCACAATCGTTGTCAGAGGCTGGAAGATTTGCACAGGATGAAGAATCCAGAATAAATTACAGACAAAGTGTGAGACGAAATTTCAGTGTTAAAGTAACACAAATAAAGTGCTACAATTGCGGAAAATTAGGGCACATTGCTTCAAAATGTACCATAAAAAAGGAACAAACTAATAGCACAGGAGAAAAAATTATGAAGTGCTATAAATGTGGCAAAATAGGACATTTTGCAAATAAATGTTACTCAAAGGTAGTACAAAAGAATGTTTCTTCGGAAGGAAACAAAAATTTTCGAAAGTAGAAAACGTAAGTAAGGCAACGTTTTCCTTAAATGTGAGTAAAGAAAGTCCTTACATAATAATAGATCATAAGAAATGCTTTTATAAATTCCTTATAGATACTGGGGCTAGTATTAGTTTAATTAAATCTAAATGCATATATATAGAAGAAATGAATAATATTAATAAGATAGAATTAGTTGGTATAGGCAAAAAATCTGAAAAAACAATAGGAAATGCATCTATTAGAATAGGAATTAAGAATTTAAAAGGCAAAACGCATAATTACAGATGGAATTTTCACGTGATACCAAATGATCTGGTTTATGGATATGATGGGATAATCGGAGCTGATTTTTTAGGCCACTTTAAGTGCAAGATAGATTATGACCAGGATTTATTTTATGTTGATAAAAATGTACATAGTCTCCAATGTAATAAATTTGAAGAATTTGTTCCTCCAAGAATGGAAGTCTTTCGTTCTATTAAGGTTAAGAAAGGTAAAAAGAATTGATTAGATGTATATGTTCCGCGTTATGAAGATGAAAAAATTGTCATTCCTCATTGTATTAGTACAATGAGAAATGGAAAATGCTTAGTAAGTATTATAAATAAATGTGAGGAAAAAGTTGTAATTGATTTTCCGTTGAAGGTAGAAGACCTTAGGGATTATAATATTGATGATAATTGTAGGAAGGATCCTAAAAAAGAAAAATTAATGAAAGAGAGAGTCTTTCAAATAAGAAATAGGTGTGAATGTATACAAAAGAGTTTAAGAGTAGATCATATGAATGATGAGGAGAATGAATCAATTAGGAAATTGATTTTAGAATATAGTGATTTGTTCATTTTAGAAGGAGAAAAATTGAGTTTCACTGATACATTAACTTGTGATATAAGAACACAAGAAGGAGTAAAACCTATTTATACGAAAAC